TAAATATGGCTGCTCATTGAGGAATAATATAGAATCTCGATAAAGAGCAATAAAACGCATTCAGATTCTTTTACCGGAGAAAAAAAAAAGGTCCGAGTTTTTCGCAAGCCAGGTGCTTACCAAGAACATAACTTCTTCACATGAACGAATGTGCGTGAGATCGTAGTACGATGCCCTGTTTTGGGACATAGATAAGTAACTGTAAAACGCCTTCTTCGCTCTGCATTAAAATTGCTACATATTAACGACAGACAAACATGGTGTTATTATTATGTCGTTATTATGCAAGCCAAAGGACTTAAAAGTCGCCATTTTGCCCATAATCAATAGGGACTTTTTCCTTCCCATTTTACGATAAACAGGCAATTCCCATTGATTATCAGTCATGTGCATCTCGAATCTACGATAGTAAAAAAATTTTCCTCTTACTGTAAACTAAAACAGGGAAATTGTCATAGAGCGTTTGCTTTCCAGAAAAAACCCAGTCAGCGCCACACAATAGGAACTTTTTCGTAACGAATAAGTGGCATTTTTTTACTGGTGATCGACGTTGTACGATAAGCAAATAATTTTACAGAGAAACTGGTTATTATCATTTATTATTATGGATAACTGGTTATTGTAATTATTGTCGTGATTATTATAATTATATAATTATAATGCGTTATTTATGCGTTATCAAGTTAAAATCCCTGCACACAACTCTTTGTTTACCCAACAATTTTAAGTGGAAAATAGACCGAGTCGTTTCAATCAACCAAATATGTACAGTCATTGCTAATTATCGTTATATCATATTTGTCACTATAAACGGGTGATTTTCTTATTGTCAGGGAACTATATCCGTCTTTACTCATTCAAGTGCTCTCCTCTCTTTCCTCCTCTCTGTCCCCCTCCCCTGTTTCTGAAGCTCTTGTGTGAGTCGGAAATTCAGTTGATGTCGATAACGGGTTCGATAAAAGATTGCGAATGGCTGATGCTGCTGCACGACTTTTCGCCTCTTGCTTTCTGCCTCTTGATGTTCCTGTCCCGACAATCTTGCCATCGAGACTACAAGTAACATACCATTCCGACTCATGATCGGATCCCGTTCTCGAAAAATCATATTCTGCATCTGGCTTATAGAGAAAGTTGCGCCATTCCTTTATCGCACTGATGTAAGGCCTGTCCGATGCAACTATACTTTGCAACCGCTCAAGATCGTTTAGTGAATATTCATCGTCTGAAAGAATCTCTTGCGCAAATTGCTTGCAAGCCGGACGCAACAATGGAGATAA